AAATGGCTTTTGACTATAAACTGTATTGATACTCCCCCTCTAGGGTAATTCCTACAGGCAAGGTTTATCTTCTCTTAATGAAATAAAGTAAAGTTATTAGTATTGCATTACCTTTTCTGAACTGCTTCAGAGAAGGGTATAGTTCCTTGACAATGTCTAACAGAAGCTATACTTCCTTCTTGGACATCACATATACCCGTAAGGGATTCCCTGTGCTGTGTCATCATTATAGTATGAAAATTAAGAAGGCTTTTACCTATAACAATATAATAAACAAAGAAAAACAAACATTCAGCCAGCTAGTTTATGTATATTAAAAATTAAAATAACTTGGTTTGCATCTACTAGGATGGTTAGAGTTAAATAATTCAAAAATTCTTCAAATCATACACATATATTAAAAGATAGTGATATGCTTAAACATTCAGATTCTATTTGAACATTGGTTGCAAGTGAAGCTATAAAGAATTATATTTCTGTAGCAATTACTAATGCAATTGTAGAATATAGAAAAAGTAAATTAGAATTAGGTGATTGTGTTGAACACTTAAGATAAAAAGAGTTGCAAATATTAAGTATAAACTTTAAGACTTTTTGAATACTCATTTAATAGGAAATGTAAAGTTAGAAAAAGATATATTTGAAACTTTATTATATTTAAAAAAGCAAGAATATTATACTGAACATTATCATGTTTTTCAGCAATTTGTAAATAGAAAAATAAAGCATACAGAAGGTATAATTTTTATGCATCCTAAACAAATAGAAAAACTTCATTGTAGAGAATAGCGATCCTAGTGTAGTAGTTGAGTTGTCATCCTCCAAGTAGCAGGTCTAAGGTTCAAATCCCATCTACGATAAAATTTAGTAATTATATCTGTATTATAGTAAAACTGTCTTTTGTCGATCGGTTGGATTTAGGTATCTGTAATCTTGGGTATAACCAATAGGATTCTACTCATTATTTGAAGCCTGGGGCATCTATGTGAAGTGTAATGTTACACATATATAGAGGAATGTTAATAACCAGTATTACATAAGACTTCAGTGCAAACCCACAATAAGGCTACCAGATGTAGAAGACCAAGAAACTAAGAAGACAGAAGCCTACTTGGAAATTTCTGAGCAAAGAGTAGCACAAGCCTTCAATGATGCTATCAAACTGATGGAAGCTCAGGAAACCCCAATAAGAAATAGGCAGACATGCAACCAGATAGAAAGATGTATAGAGGAGCATATAACCAACCAGGCTGCTAAAATCGCTAAAGAAAAAGAATACTAAGGTATATCATACCAGGCTATCTGGATTGGAAGTCTGGGGAGTCTGTTGGATTCTAAGTTAGATAGTAGAGAGATAAAAGGTAAACTTTACAAGAGTAGAAATAGTGTAACATAGTGGTTAAACAGATAACCTCTGTAACTGCAAGTGTTGAGTAACTATAACATGTTACATAAAACTAGGTCAGCTGTGTGTAAAACATAGAAGGCTCTAGTAATGATGCTTCTAAGGATACACTGCATAAAATAAAATATGAGGTCCTAAGGAAAATGTATAAAAGTATCTAGACCTTCTTGACTGACAGTTGTATCAGAGATGATCTAGTGACACAGTAAGGATTGCAGTATAGAGAGTTTAAATAGGCAATGCTCCTAGTTGGGTTGCAGGTATGGCAGCTAGTGTAAAACTATTGGCAGACTACTTAAATTAGACACCAAAAGTGTACATGTGGCTAGTTGTATTCTCTAATATAAGGTGACTTCTTTAAGGCTTCAGTCGTGAGTCCTTATGTTCAATTTACTGAATAAAACCCTAGGCCCAAAAGAGGCTAGTTTAACATCAAAAAAAAAAAAAAAAAAACTTTATTGTCATGGTTGGCTTACATTGATAGATTCTATTCACAATACCAATAAATATAGCTAAAGACTTTTTACATTATATATATGTAATAGTTGTAGATGTTAGGAAAGTGGCTCTCATTTTTTTGTATATGTTGAGAATAGTGCGACTATTTCTAAAGTGCTACAATTAGTTTGAACTAAATGTTATTAGGCATCTCAATATATTTTAATTGATTAAAGTAATACCAAAACTAACAGTATTGTACAAGCTTTTCCTGGCATTAATGCTGATAAAGAAGAAAGTAAAAATTTTGTTTTGCTTAGTTCATATAATACATACATAAATTTTGAAAATTTATGAAAACAAAACCTAAAATATTATGATTGCAGCTATATATAAAAGAACAAGAATAGGATGTATGCAACTTATTTAAAAAGCTATTAAAAATTGTCCAGTTCTAGCTATTTGCAAGTATATTTAGCAAAATTATAAAAAAAATACTTATTAATGATCTTTTGAGTCAGACAGCATTCTTTACTCCTATTCTAAGTTATATTTACTAATGCATTGAAATTTTTCCATAGTGAGTTAAAAAAAACCACATCTTGCTTATATAGATTAATTGGTATTGCACATAAAGTTATTGATCTTGATCGTAAAAAGCAAATAAATGCTAAAGGTGTAGTTTTTAATTTTCATATCAAAAAAGTATTAGTATATAGTATTGAAGATAAGATTGTTAAAAAAATAGAAAAGTTTCCTTATTCTATGCAATTGATGCTTATAAAAGAAGCCTTTGCAATAAATGATAAGTTAGAAAAGGGTAAAGGTGTACCAGAACTTATTTTTTTAGATTGTAATTGCCTGTTCTATAATTGATATATTTTATCATATAAATATATATTTTATGAGCATATCTATAGTTTTAACTAATTATTAACCTCTGAAGCTTGAAGAATGTATAGGAAAATATTCAAGAAAAGTAGCTTTGAAGTTTATGAACATTGTAAATTAGTCACTATAAAGGTATTAGGACAAAGTAAGAATAAAAAAAAGACAGAAAAAAGATGATTTGCAATAAATAAACTAATCAAAAGGCTGCATAATAAATATTGAAGCATTAAGAAAAGAAATGGTGAGAAGAAGCAGAGGCTTTTGTTACTAGACTAAAAGGTTTTTTAAATTTGATTCTTAGAGAAAATTAAAAATTTTTATTTATAAAATAATTAGATTGTATATAGCAATATATTACTATGTAACTTTGATATTCGTTTACTTATAAATAAATCAAATCAGTATCTGCTTAGAAAGTTTAACTCTGCTAACAATATTTTGCTAGCAATTTTTTTTTTTGTGATTTATTTACTACTAAAACATTTTACTAATAATCCACATCTAGGCAGAATTTTACTTTATGTATTTTCAATATTTTATTATATTTTATTTAATAAGTGTAAAGAATAGTTATTAGTCAAGTTATTTTAAATAAGTGATTGTGACTACTTACTCTTACATTATATTTTTTATTTTTATTTGTATTATTTAAGTTAGTAAATACAATAATCCTTTCTAGTTTATATATTTAATGATATATAATAGTTTATAGTATTTATTATAACTTTTTATCTTATTCTATTTTATTTATATTAGTTTAGTTGGTAAGCATTAAGACCTTTATTAATTAGTGCATCTAATTAAGACATTCAAGTCTGTAGTACTTATTATGTTCCTTATTATGCTTTACTTGTATTAATTTAATTAGTAAGTAAATATTTATTAATCATATTGTTACAGTAGGGAGGCCTTCTTTAACTCCTTACTATAACAATGACACGGCTACAGGGATCCTTTTACAGGTTTATAGCGGTGTCCAA